CCATATGTCCCAAGCAAAACAGCCAAAGTTCTAATGATTCACCAATTGTCTAAGGAGGTACACCCTTCAGCCCACCCAGGATATATCTTAGTAGTAATTGTTATAGTGGGATGGACTTGAAGCTAACTGGCAGACTGGTAAGGAAATAACTCTATCCATGCCCAGAAAGGGTTTAGCAAGAAACAAGGGGCCATTTGAATAGCTATCACTGGACCTACATTCTGATACTTGGCCTGCAATCACTGCCCCATTTGCTCCTCATTAACAGGCAATGAAGTTGAGGACCATGTATCATCAGGTTGATCATGAAATTTGGTCACCATGTTTGCTAGCAATTACTAAGGACTTCCTTTGAATCCAGTTAATGAACCCCAAAGCCCTCCTCCTCTTCCAGAAAGCTATGTGTCTGTCAGAAGCCCATCCTCATGACCAAACACCATCAAGAACTGTGAAGTGTCTGAGATTTTGCTCTACTGCAAGCTAACAAGTTAGGATGCCATATTCATGGACACTGGTAAAAGACCTAAGATTCCTAGGTCACAAAGAACTTTATTACTTATGGTACAGGAAGCAGAGCATGATAATCCACAATTTTTTTTTTTTGAGATGGAGTCTCACTCTGTCACCCAGGCTGGAGTACAGTGGCACGATCTCAGCTCACTGCAACCTCTGCCTCCCAGGTTCAAGCAATTCCCATGCCTCGGCCTCTGGAGTAGCTGGGATTACAGGCGCGTAACACCACTCCCAGCTAATTTTTGTATTTTTATTAGAGATGGGGGTTCACCATGTTGGCCAGGCTATCTCGAACTCCTGACCTCAGGTGATCCACCTGTCTCACCCTCCCAAAGTGCTAGGATTACAGGCATGAGACACTGTGCCTGCCCTGATAATCAGCATTTTAAAAATCATTTCTTCCTTATACCCAAGTCCCAGAAGAGTGGCCAGGTTAGGCCCAGATGGATACCTGTACATACAACAGGTTGTATTACAAGGGAGGAATCTTAAACTTAGGGAACTCAATCTTTTATAATGGTCAGTAAGCATGCCTTTACTCTGGGAGAAGACACTATCTTCCAAGGCTGTACACAAACTGAAACCTCTGCTCTGGAAGTTAAAAGGGAGGGTGAGGCAGGGGAGAAAAAGACTTACATCTTCCAAGATTGTTCATTATACAAATATCCTCAAAAAGACAGTCTTTTGAGGGGCACAAGAAGTCTGTGCCTTCCCTAGAAAGACATACAGAAATGCAAGTGATCTATGGAGAATTGCTTCTCAATTGGTATAAACTGTAGAAAAATGGAAAAATGCAAAGGCAATTTTGCTCTCTGTGCAGAAGCCACTCCAACTTGTGGTGAAATACTCCATGATTTATACACAAATACTAAGGAACTCTTACAGATCTTTAAAACTCACCAAAAACAACTCTGCCAATCTTGACCCACTTCACCAACTTACAACACATTACTTTGGCAGTTCATCAAAGCACAGCTCCAATATCCTAGGTACAATTTACATTTTCAATTTTAATTTTCTCCTCAGCCTTTTTCCTTTTCTTTTAATTTGACTAACTTCACACATAAGCCCAGCTAATCTTCACTGCTGCACGTTAGCCAAAATAGAGTTCTTCCGATAAATCCTCAGGAGAGAGCCAGGGAAGCTTGCTTAAAGGAGAGATTTTAAAGTCATAAGGTCAAAACAGGTTCCTTTTTAGGCAATTCAGTTTGGCATGACTGCAACATGATTATCTTAGTAAGAACCTCCAATTTTTAAAACAAAAATATACTAAGTGCATCCTAATATCCCAAGAAATAGGGCTAGCTGTTACATAAGGGAAGCTGACTTATCTTAACATTCATCTATTAAGCCCTATTTTGTTCCATGACCCAGGCTTCTTAAGAGACTGCCATTACAATTAAACCTCCAACCCCCAAAGAGCTCTGTCTACAATGGCTTATAAAGGAAGGGATAAGAGCCAAATTCCAGGTTGGCCTCAGTTATGTCTAAATGTCAACTTCTTATCCCACACAGTGAAACATATGAACATCGTAGGGCAGATCTCTTTTAAGGGAAAAGGGTCAGGTTCCCTAGCTTTTCACCCCAAAGGATAGACAGGAATGTGCTGGTCTCTATGATTCTATGACTAGATAGAATCACAGTATGTTTATCATTCCATTATAATTCTTTACACTCTAGACGTTATGTTTTCAAACCACTCTGTTTTAGAGAAGATCTCAATGTTTTAGTAAAGTACAAACACCATCAGTTTACTGTTATTGTCTCCAAGTGTATGTTCTGAATTAAGGCACTTTTTTTTTGTTTGGATTACAAACCACACTACTTGATAAATATCTGAGAAAAATGGGAGTGGGTAACTTGGAAATGAAAGTAGGCTTCACTTATTCTATGAATACAATGCTTCTAAGAGCAAAGATTCTTCAAGTGTTTAGTTTTCTAAATAACTTTATAATGGAACAGAACCATAACCCAGCAGAAAGAGCCAAAGTTCTTATTTTGGTATAATTTATTCTCCTTTGGTCAAGCAGGTCAACAATAAGGTCATCAATTGTCTTGGCAACACCCACCTCCGATTCCACCACTGCAATGCATTAATGAGTTTATTTATGCCCTGCTTTATCTACAAAGAATTTTTTTCCTATTAGAACTATTAACATGAGCTTAGTTCCACTATGCTTTTTCAAGGGAGATTTATTAAAATGGGATGGAGAAGAAGGTCATTTCCAAAAAAAAGTCACCTTCAGTTTTCAACAGAGAAACATTATGTTTTATTCCATATCTCTTTGGATAAGCAACATTTGATAATATTTCCAGCATAAGATGTCAGCAGTTCTTCTAACACCAAACGACTAAGAACTTTTATTCAAGAGCCAGAGTTGCTTATATTGGCATCTATATAACACAACCTCAACATCTAATTTCCTGGTGTTGAAAAAAAGTCAAATCCCTGCTTCTTTAATTTACGAGTATAAAACATATTACCTTAAAAGCTATCGCTGTGTCTCAAACTTTTAAAGCACAATTTTAACCCAATAAAATAAACATACCCACTACAATGCGTCCTGTGATGTTAACACATACTCTACTTTCCCCTAAAAAACTTGAAATAAGGTGTTTTTTTAAAACTTATAATTGCCATTCTTAAATATGCAGGGAATCTCAATATTTGAGTGAGCTTTCTCAACAAGGAAACAGCGGCAATACTGACTTACCTCCCAGAGCTTAAACCTTTTGAAAATGTTTTATTGCTTAATTTTTGTATTTGAAGAGTTAGTCACAAGGAAGTCAGTGGCAAGCTGGCCCAAAGCTGGGTCACCCTGGGCAGGAAGTGGCTGAGAAAATTGTAGCAGATTTTAAACTTTTTAAAATCTGCTGGCCACTTTGGCTAAACACAAAGACCACCTACTCCACTATTCGCTCCCAGCTATCACAGCAAAAAGTACTCACCAGAATAGACAGGAAGGAGGCACTTCCGATGAAATGCCACCAAGGTAACTGTCTGGGTTTCATGCATATTTAATATATGCCAGAAACAAAGTTACAGACTTTGTCACATTATAAACATTAAAGGAGGCTGTCCACAGACCCCCTAGGGTTCCTTCACAGATTATACTGTAAATCCAAACTACATAACTATCTGAAATGCAGGCAATTTGCTAGGTGATACTGTTGTAGTAAGCACACGAGGAATACAGTGGTAACACAGAAAACCAGGGCAATTCTGGAAATGATCTGCTTTAACTTACACCGAAAGTAACAAGATCCTAATGCCAAAAAATAAAACTCTCTCGTTAAAATAAGAGGGCTTGAGATTTCGAAGTAATCAGGTTTCTTTTTTTGTTTATGAGTACCAACTAAACAAACGTATACTCTGAGCCTAGTGACATTTCAGGAATGGGAAACTAAATTTCCTGATTAATACGAAAATAAGCCTCATAATAAGAATCATAGTTTAGAAGACCTAAATTAGTAGTAATAACAAATACTTTGAAATATATTTTAAAGTGTTGGATAATTTTTAAGAACAGTGTGACTAAAATTAATATTGCAACTTTCCAGAACTATTTGGACTAATTTTTGTGACCACCCAAAAAAGGGGCTAAGCTAAAACTTTGTATTCCAAATTGAGTCAGTGACAAAGTTTCAAACGCACCCCGCCATATACTTTAAATTAAGATGGTTTACAAGAGAAATACTGAAAATAAATCATCCTTGAATACTTTTAGATTTCACCCGGTGTACCACAAATCACATCCAGAAACCCAAAGAAAATAATCACTGAAATGTTTGAGATATGCTGCTGAAAACCTGAGCTACAAGACAAGAAAAGGAGAGAGACCAAAGCAGATAGGCTGATGTCTCTTTGCTTGAGCAGCACTGGGCTTTTGGAGGTCCTAAGCCATGCACATTAATACCGAGTCCATAAAAGTCAGCAGTAACACTAAAATAATAATAAATAATATAGGCTCTGGTTAGAAAGAGAGGATCCGTTTACTGCCGCCCTGCTGAGGTACATTTGACCACCAAAGGCAAGAAAGCTATTAGCATCCTGAATTAATGGGTATAGTGGTTTTCAAACAAGATATTTTCATGATGGACACCATGTGGACTCAGCAAAGTTTCTCCTTCAAGAAAAATATAGCTTCTATTTCAAAGGGCACTGATTAGGCTTAATACCATTAGGGAACCATCAAGGATTTGTGTTGTTGTTACTGCTTTTAACTATCAGTTACTTTCTAAACCAAAAATTGTGGGTAGTTAACTTGACCAACAGTCAACAGTTAGGAATGCAGGAGCAAATCCAAGGTACAAAAGAGCTTCAAATGTAGACAGGCCTTAAGGAGTTTAGAATCCTTTTAGGTTGTTAGGTCTTAGCCCTTCTCATCATCACAATTAGCATTATGACTTCCTTGTCTGGAATTTCTAAATAAAAATTTATTTCCCTCATCACATCCCCACCCTGAAAACAACTAAATACAACACTATTTTAGAAATTCTCAATATGGTTTATTAGTGGCAATGTAAATCGATGACAATCAAAAAACAAATAAACACATATACCAAATGAATAAATTCTTAACTACTATTAACTGCTTATAATATATCCAGCAGATGTTTTAAAAGTCAACAGTATTAATTCCCTTGTCGATTAATGGTAAAAAAAATAATTGTTTTGAGTCCGTCTCCAGTCAATACAAGTACAAATATACATTAAATAAGATTAAAAAGACTGTAAATCAGACAACAAAAAAGTCTACAAAACAAAGATAACTTTGAAAGCATTGCTCAATTTACTCTGTCGCTTTCTTATGTAAAGTATTTTGAAGCAGTACATATTTTCAGGATCATACATGAAAGTTCACATCCAGATGTCTTTTCTATCAAATTCTTATTCTTTCTTCATTGTCAAAATCTTAATTTTCATTCCTGGCTGGATTTTTCTTCCTTGGCAATTCTTTTTGTTACCCCACTAAAATATTTCTCACGGAAGGAATTATGACCTTGGTATGGCAGAAAATGATCACTTAGCAGATGTGAATACTGGTCTTGATTCTGTTTGGTTGGAAAATACAAAATATAAAAACAATTTCTTTAGTTAGCTTGTCCCAAAGCTGTCATTTATTTTCTTAAGCAAAATCTCACTCTCTAGTGCATATTTATTTTCCTTCACTACTTGAATTAGAAATAGACCATCACTTTACCTTATCATGCTTGGATATCCAAAGTGTTTTCATTTACTTTACTTCAGTTAAGCCTCATAAAAGTCCTCTGCACAGAGGACACATTTTTTTTCTTTTTTTATGTTTATTTTTTGAAATTCAGACAAGGCAAAGAGAATGGTTCCAGGTAACAGAGTCAAGACTATAACTTTCTTCTGCTAGTTAAGCACATACTGAAGTTATCTGTGCCTATGGATAAGAATTATTAAACAAGGAAGCTTCTACTCAAGAAAAAGTTGTGAACCGACAAAATAATGCATTTGTGTGAGGTCATACATATACACAAAATTGTCTGGGGTATTTCTATATTCAGTTAATGAAATAATTCCTGGCAACTTTAAGTGAACACAGTAGATGAAAATACAGGCTAAACAAGAGATTTCCATACTTGCAGACTTCACAGACAAGTAAGGACTAGTGCTCAGACTGACATCTGATGGTAATATCAACCTGGGTTAGAATGTCAAACATATTTTGGCTTAGAAAATTGAGGTTCCTGGCAGGGAACACTGAAATACTGGCTTCTCATCCAACTTCACTAACCATTCCAAGCAAAGAAAAATATCTAATTAGACATAAAATCTTATTTCCCATTTACTTCTATAAATTCATATTCAATTACACCTGGATTAATGTGATTTTGAGGAGAGGTGTAGAGACTTAAATGGAAAACATGAAGCATAATTTTTTATCTTAATTTCAGTATTAAAATGGTTGCTAAAAATATACAAATATATTTGGAATATAACCATCTTCAAAATATTTTTGCACTTTTGCAAAAATATTTTTGCCTGTGTAAAATGAGTACCTTTATCTTTCCATCAGCTCTAGCATTAATAAGAATCCAGGTTTAGCCAAAATAATGTTGGCGGATTTGTTTATTCAGAAACTATTTTTGCCACATATATTTTTAAAATCACACCAAAACCCCAGATTATTAAACATGCCCAGATTTCCTGATTCACCAAAGATAAATAAGTGGCCACTGAAATTTTATGGCACTAAGTATGTTACAGTTCCAAATTCCTGCAAGTACATGAAAACATGTCAAAGGTTACTATTAATAACTTTAGGCTACATACAATCCCCAAAAAGATAAATTTTAGATAGTCAAGGTGTAGGTATACAACTAAAGGTACCAAATGAAAGGTAACATTTGCTGAGTATTTTGCATAGACCAAAAACAACACTAAATGCTTTATATGTACTACCTAATAAAACTTCTCAGCTCTAAGAAATAAGTACACTACTATCACTATTTTACAGATGAGGAATTATTTAAGAGTACAGGCCCAAGATAATGCAGCTGGTAAGTGGCAGAGCTAGGCTTTGAACACAGACTAGTTTGACTCTAGAGACTGCACCCTTAACTACAAGGCAATGAGGTTTTCTCCAAAAGAGCTATCTTTTTCCCCAATTCAAGAAGCAGGAGGAACTCTGAGAATATAGGTGATAGACTAAGGCTATGACAGCTGAGTTGCCAACCAAGAAAGGAGTAGCAATGGGTAAGAGGTCTTACTAATGAAGGCCTATTAACTAAGGACATATTTCAATGGCACAGAGTTTTCATACCAAGAGGAGGTATAAAGAGCCACAGGGAAGCTGAAGGATAACAAAATCCCGAAAGAACAGGTGACTTCACAGGTGGATTCAAGTCTGGTCCACATATCAGGACTGTGCCAGGACAGCGGCAACACAGAACAATGTTCCAGCATTTAACGTCAACTACTTCATTTCAACTTTTTTTTTTTTTTTTTGAGACGGAGTTTCGCTCTTATTACCCAGGCTGGAGTGCAATGGTGCAATCTCGGCTCACCGCAACCTCCGCCCTCTGGGTTCAGGCAATTCTCCTGCCTCAGCCTCCTGAGTAGCTGGGATTACAGGCACACACCACCATGCCCAGCTAATTTTTTGTGTTTTTAGTAAAGACAGGGTTTCACCATGTTGACCAGGATGGTCTCGATCTCTTGACCTTGTGATCCACCCTCCTCGGCCTCCCAAAGTGCTGGGATTACAGGCATGAGCCACCGCGCCCGGCCCATTTCAACTTTTATCAAAAGTCTAACTCAAGTCCATCAACTACTCCTCCAGGTATTCGAAATTCTGTCCTTATGTCAACAAGATCACTAGAAAACTTGACCACTTTCTGAGCTATGTTAGCTTAATCCTGGCAGAATGTTCTTCTTTGGTTCTATTTTAAAGCTATGTCCAGATGCTGTCATCTTTTCAGCTACTATGTTGATCCTCACAATTCTTGGCATCGCTCCCCATCCAGTCATCAAAATCAGAAACCTGGGTCAGATGTGTCTTCTCAGATTTGGTCAGTCCTAAAATCTTAGCTTACATATCCTGAATATCTCAAATCCACTTCTCTCTACTCATAATTCTAATATTTAATGTAGGCCTTCCTCAACCCCTCCTCTCTTTTCACTAAATGGCCAGCTGCCCTGCCTTTAGTGGTTCCTTCTCCAGTGTATTCTCCATACTGAGACCAAGCCTAATTTATTAAAATGCAAATTTAATATGTCAGCCACTTGTCTAAAATCCAAATGAGTTCAAATTTTCCATAATTCGCAGGTTTTTCCCTTGACATTTGGGACTTACATTCAATTACTTATCACTTTGCAGAATAACATATCACTTTCTTCTGTACAGGAGGAATCAGAATGCAGTCAGGCCATAAAATAATTCCTTAGCTCTGCCTTCCTGTCCTCTTCTCCCCTCTAGGCCATGCAAGATCACCTACCCCTCAAACTGCACTGTGGATTAAGGAGGCTAAGGTAAGACAGAAACATGATTCCAGCAAACTGACCCAGGCTCAGTTACTAGCGTGCCTAGCTGAACTGATCTGTGGTTATGCAGCTCCCAAAAGGGAGGCAGAAGACAAGGCCCAAAGCATAATGGAAGATGGGCTCCCTCCAGGGACCAAAGGAAGGGCTTAATAAAATCATTTGTCTCTGACCACAGGGATAGAAATAAGGCAAGTATTGGTCATAAAGTCAGAGAATATAAAGATTAGAGTCAGAGACTGGGAACGAACAGCAGAAGCCTGAAAACTCCACAAGTAATTATTAAAATGTATGCTAATGATTACTCAGAAAACATTTACTACTTAAGACATTCCTTACCGTAATAGTTTAGGCCCCTCAGAATAAAGTAAAGGCAAAGTCAGTCCTTAACAGACCATGTGTTCTATTCAGTGCTATGGGGACACAGTGGCAAAGACACATATATGCTAATTGAGAAGTTGGGAAAGATCATTAACCTTAGAAATGCAACTCCTGGGGGGAAAATCCTATTTTCTTATTTCTCAGGTAGTAGAGCAGAATCAGTGTGAAGTGTATGTTTGGGTTCTGTGCTAAAATGTCCCCTTTCTAGAAGACCAAATGACTCCAGACTGCAAAACAGAACATTTATCATTTGTAACAGACACTCTGGAAAACCCAAAAGCTCCAAATCCCTTACGCAGCCAGAGATCTGGCAGGCACCAGTCTAACCCAGCAGCGCAAGTGCTGCTTCAGAGTAAGACATTCCAAGGACTTTGGCTACTATTTTCACTTAAGTGCAAAGGCCATGGTTCATAAAATGTTCTGATGAAACACTTGGTATGTCTGTGGTCCAACATGTATCATTACATACAATCACACATGTAAATACGACATACCTGGGAACAATACACATTTAACTAAAATACACCCAGACCATATGAAATATACTATACTCTATGAAGCATTCAGAACTTACATTATCACCTTAATGCTGAAAAAAACAGCAAACTCATTTTTTGTTTTCTCTTTTCTCTCTACCTCTCTTTCATCCTATCTTTAGTTTGCCAGGGCTTACATTTGAGATGATGATGTTCAACTCTACATATTTTTCATCACCTTTTTACAACTCCTCTCTATTCACATTCCCTGCACATCTCAACCAGGAATATCTGCAAAAATTTTTTTCAGCACAGTATCTCAAAGGCCAAAGTGCTTACTTAAAAGGAGAAGAGTGTCCTCACCAAACACAATCTTTGATCTCCCTCACTAACTGAAGCTTGCCCCAGTGTTTGACTTCTGGTTTTGCTAACATTTCCAAATCCATCTACCACTATCCATCATGATATCATCTACACATCACAAAACCCGAGTTCTGCCGATGTTTAGTAAGCAAAACCTACTTGGTGGAAAATAAAAACACACAAAGAATTAGGAAACGGCAAGAGAGAAGACTATGGTGATAAAACAACTACACTTTCCAAATTTCTTAACCATTGATAGTAATTAAGAAGATATAAATATTAAGATTATTGATTATACTGTTATCATTTTTTATAATCAGAATAGTGTTCTGTAGGTAAATTTGTGCTACCTGCAAATGGCTATATAAGGGATATAAAACAGCATTCAGACCTATTATTTATCTTTTTAAGACAATCAGCAATTGCAAACATCATAATATACAAGTTATGATTCAAAAAAGGAAGATATATTTCCTACCAAATATGTGTTATTACATAATTATTTAATTTTCTGTATCTTTTTACAGAAGAGTATCGTCTAACTTTTGCAGATAGTGACACAAGGGGGCTAAAGAGTTTAAATAATCTACTACAAATCACACAGCTAGTAAGTAGCATTGCCAGAATTGTAGCCCAAATCAGACTTCAAAGCTCATGTTTTTCCCATTATAATTCTCTTCTTTTCAGTAGAAATTACATCAAAACAATGGCTAAAGAGTTAATTTCCCACATGGCAGATTAGTGGGTCATTCAAAATAGAGTTTGACATTTAGAGGACATTCCTCACTGAACGGCAACATTATGGTAGCACATATTTCAGATCT